TGTATATGGTGAATTTCACATCATTCTAGAGGCCAGGACTATCGCTCCCAGGAGCCTGGACACCGCAAGCAGAAACAACTGAAGCTCAGCATCGATGTGCCATCTCCCGTTCATATTGCAACAAGATCCTGAACAACGTACTTTTATACAAGCCTGCTTAAAAAGAAAAGCAAGTAAGGAAATTCCCAATCAACCACTTGGCAACCGATTTATTAATACACATCCCGTTATCAACCTGGTAACTTGAAAGGGAGTACATTTTAGCAGTTATGCCAGCAATACAAATGCTTTACAGACTGAAAATGCCAAACTCTATGATGCTGCTTAACCAGGACTAAGAGCCCCCCCAGCACGGTTTCGCTGACAGCGAGAGACTCGGCAGTACCAGGAACTTCCTTCTGCTTCCACCTGATAAGGAAACATGCTATACATAGCGCATTAATCTCCTTCGCTCTATGACACATTGCATTAATCACAACAGCTTGCTTCAACCACAGTAAAATACTATCCCAGATGCTTAACCTATGTAGATGTCAAGCCCATGTATCTGCTGATGTTGCAAAAACTCAATCGCATCCCAGCAATATAATACCTAAAATTATGTTAGCGACGAGCAGGAACACAGGCAGCCTGTTTACTCAAAACTCTGCAGCCTAAGGTCTTTATCCAGTAAGTACATTGGCACTTGATTTTACCAGGTACCTGAAGGACCATGTTGTAAAAGTGTAAAATATTATGTAGAGTTCTTGCCTACTGTGTTCAAAACACTGTAATTTAGCTGTAACAGGTACAGAAGAAGAGCTATAATGGCAATCAGAGAATGGAGAATTATGAGATGTCAAAAGCATTTGACTAGTGCTGTGAAAGTTGAGAGACGGTACCACCATTCTTTAGAAATTCATTTAATTAGCTATGAGAGAAAAATCATTAAGTTAAAAGAGAATATTGTTGTAAGGTAGATGTGCACAGATCATGAATACAGTTAGATGGGAAATTAGAAGAAGATAAAAGCATCAGGTGAGTGAAAGTCTAGAACTGTCCAAAGAGGGTAGTAGGAGCAAGGAGTCAGCTGCTGTACAAAAGCACATACTTTCTCTTTTATGAATTTGGATTTGAGTTTTCAAGGAAAAATCCCTAGTTCTATTTAAAAGAACTTTTCAATGCATAAAATTTTATTTGCTAAGAAATTTCACTTCAACAACATTGGGAAATAGGTAATCGTGGGAATTGAGCTTCAATAGATAATTAATATGATGCTCAAGGAAATGGAGCATAAGGGATTTTTATATAACTATCCTCTCTTCCCACACCACCCATAAAGTTAAGCATATGCTTAAGTGATCTACTACATCAAGGCCAGGACATTCTGCCTGTTGCAAACATGAAATCTTACTCCCACAGCATAAATGCTTTTACTCCTTGTGAGTTGCAAGTATTCAGTTTAAGTTTGCATCTTCACACGTGCTACTACACACAGGAAAAAAAAGAAAACCGATACAGACTTCGTCTAACTTTGTGCAAGGTGATTAGAAATGTAGGTCTTGTGCCCTTACAGAATACCTGAAAAATAAGGACATTTGGCACGAACTTTGTCTCAGGCTTCTGTAAAAATCATCTTCTCCGGCAGTTTAAACAATGACTGTGCAGGCTTTAAAGTTTGAATGAAACAGAAGAGCTTGGCTTATTTCATGAGGATGCTGAACATGAATCCCTTTATTTCAGTAGGACACCTGGACATCAGATAGATTGTTTAATATAGAAATACAGAAATGCTACAGAAGCGAACATGAAAGTGAACAGACCGTCACCATTTATGTGTATGTTTGTCCCTAACCTCTCTGCAACCTGATGTTATAATAAAGAAGATGGAAACTTATGGAAGCAAAATAATGTACCTGTGTGCAGGCATGTGCGTACAAACACACGCACACTGAGCAGCTGCAAATGTTCAAACACCAGAACAACCTGAGCAAAGTGATTTAACTGGCATGAAGGCTGGCAATTTATATCACCTAATTCTTGCAAACAAGCCTTTAAAGTCTCTACCACCACGAAGGACTTCAAATCACTCATTACTCAAAAGAAGCAGTTAATCACAACTTTTGAATTTCTTTATGGCATTTTCTTCCGTTCTGGACCCGTATCTGTGATATACTTCAAAGGAGTATCTTTTAATTGCCAAGAAGGAACAAATACATATACCATGTTGTCAGATCTTCTGGCTTGCTTCTTGAACCAAAACTCTGCAAAACTGCTCCAAAAGTCCAATTATTTAATTGCATTGCTCTGGTACAACAGCAATGAAGTCATCCTTAGGCCACCTGTAACTCCGTTTCCCATCCTGCTGTTTATCATGTAATTCTCTCACATAATTACCTCTGCCTCACGTGCCTTGTTACATTACTCCTCTCTTTTCCCTGCTGCTCTTCTGTTTTTTGGTGTATGCTCTTCTGTTTTTGGTGTACCCCATTAATCCTGAGGAGCTGTTTAGTTGTGACCTCTTCCAGCTCACTTTGAAATGCAGAAGCTTAAAGGACCATGTGGACAATGACCCTAAGCCCACCTCTCTTCACGGAGCTGTTGGGCCTGTTTTCTTTGAGGACCGTGCTGGATGAAGACTTCTGCTACCTTCTTACCTATTTTAGCTGCTGGTCTGCGTGCCCTAAGGCTTCTGCCTGCTCTTACTGACAGCACCGGGGCCATTCCAAACATCCTACTTCCATCCCTACTTCTCAGCTGACTTGGGCGCTGGCAAACAAGGGGACGTAAGCAATGCCCCCCCACCAAGAGATGCAGCAGAATATCTGAGCAGCAGAGGTGGCAAGTTCAGCCCAACAAGTTCATGGGTGTACAACCACCTCATCTAATTGTGGCTTGAACACCCACAGGGTCTACTGAAAATAACACCTCTGCTCAGTGGCCCAGGTGAGTATAGTTTCAGTGCCAGGGAAAGTGTCACCGAAGTGTGTCACTTCGGTCAGCCCTTGAATTCAGTCCTTTCCAACGGCAGAAAGCCTGAGTGACAATCTCTTTTACAAAACACCATATTAAAAGGTTAAATCGTTATTTTGAATATGCACTGTTATATTTTGGTGACATTTTACAGACATGCAGCATTTGTTTGCGGTTATTCTGCGAGCGTAGGATTGAGCGCACACCTACACTTCATTTAGTATACAATCAGTTGCATTCCCAACTCGGAGCAGAAGTACAGAAAATACTGCGTCCCCATGTCGTTCCCTGACTAGCCACTTTCCTGACTACAATTCCTGCAACCACAACGCAGTAAGCTGGGGATGGGCACTGGAGCGTGGTGAGCAGCATGTGCCGGTTGCCGCGGCTCAGCTGCCAGACAGGGTGCTGTAAGAGGCGGTGTCGGCAGCACAGAGGTGGCCTGCAGGTTGTGCCAGCGCTGTCAGGGTTTGCTGGACCTCCGCACAGAAGGTTGGGGGGGGGAAGGGAACAACCTCAAAAGCAATTAACTCTCTCTGACCTGCCTTTCCCTCCTTAAACTCAGCATTTTCTGTGAGAACGGATTGTGTAAGAGCAATTTAAGTCATACCCAGGAAGAGAGGCACCTGTGTAAGAGCGAGTGCCTGAAGCAAATGTGTGCACCGACGTCAATTAGAGTAAGCCGGAGGTCTCCCACAAACCCTACTTGGAGGGCACCAGCAAACACCATCACAACACCCTTCTTTCTGAGGTTTGTTTCATGCCTCCTCCTTATCACTAGTCAGAAGGTGATTTCATTTTGACTTGGTGTTCTGCTAGCACGCCAGCACACCTCCTTCTAATAAATCCTTTACTTGGTTTATATGAAGTGCCAATATTTGGGTAATAAGAATGATCTTTTAGGTATCCAACTTTCCTGTCGCTGATGTGAAATCAGGTAAGCACAGAGCAATATTCTAATATTTGAACAGATAAGAGAGGAGGTCACAATGTGTTTTCATCTACTCATGCTAGTATACCCACTAACGTCAAAATACAGTTTGCATAAGCATGGCGAAGAAACAGGATTTAACCCTCCATGAAAACCTCTGGAAACCTCTGGAAAAATAAGAAGCCTTAAGAGAAAATTTACAAGTGTTTTGCCTTGAGACAATGTTGATCGTGGCATCGAGAGCCACAGGTTTCCTCCAGGAAGGCATCTAGGTCAGAAGGCTTCGAGGGAGAGGGTGGGAGTGTCTTCAGTTAACCTCTGGACTTTTGGGAAAGATGTCTTTTTGTTTCCTCTGGATCCAAAATCTCAGAACCAAAACAATTTTTTCGTTATCAGATCTGTTTTTCAGGATATTCCCATGCCCCTAAAATTTCTAAGTTATAAACACATTAAAAGCTGGGGTAATCATTAGGATATGTGGATTGGAATAAAACAGGATGCAAACACAAATTCAATGCTATTTTAAGACTTGTGTTGGTAGCAAAAATCTGCAGAGATTTGAGCAGAAGTTCTCTTGCCGGTTTTGGCGAAATGCCCAGTTAAGCCCTGACAGCACTTGAGATTTCCTAAAGGGAATTTTCTGTGATTATAGCACGAAACGCACTCAGCTACTCTCACATCTTACTTTGTGTACCACCTCATCAGAAAGCAGAGGGCTGGACTTATTACTATTATTAAATGACAGAATTATCATCATTTTAGTTTCAATGCTACCAATTGTTTCTTTAAATTTTACATTTCAGATGCCGGTAAATAGTCATTGTGATAGTAAGTTTTCTGCTGAAGTTTGCATACCAAAGCAACTGTTCTAAACTATCAATTACACATACTGAAAACTGAATACTGAAACCAGCCCCATCCTTCCTAAATTGAGCCCAACCAAATACATTTAAGAATGAACCACGTGATGTCTCACAGGCTTGTACGATCCAAAAGGAGAGAGCTGGAAATGCAATTTGATTCTGAACCAAATTTTGCATTAGCATGCACCGTAGGATAACGGAGTCATTGTTTCAAATCAGAAACTGAACACAGTGAGAATGTAAAAAACACTGACCTTTCTTTGCTAGGTTACTGTTGGGTTCATACTTCTCAATCAGTTGTTGAACTTGTTCTTGTTTTAATGGTGGATAAAGGATTTCATTTAATCGTGGATCACGTTGCTTCAAATTTATAAATTCCGTCATCTGATCAACAGTAAGGTATGGCTTGCTCTTGGCACCACTAGAGAAAAATTAAAGCAACAGCAAAGCTATTAAAATACACAAAAAACTCACAAAAAGGAATAAATTTCCTTGAGATCATCTTCAATGGTCCGTAATTTCCCAAGAAAACCAAAACAAGATTCAAACTATTGTATAACAAAAACATTGTCCCACTTTGTATCCGGACTAATTTACTTTGCCAGAATGTAATGACAAATATTCTTCATCAAACATCTAGGAGTAAGATTTTTTTTTTAAGTGTTCAGCATTACTGACATCAATGGGAAGACTTAGAGCAATGTTAAAAGCTTTTCATTCCTCTGAATTCCTGGAACTAAGCAATTAAAAAAGTAAAAGAGAAAACGATGTGGAATTCAGTCCTGAGCTTGCCACAAACACTGCTGGCATTCC